TCTCTCTCTCTCTCTCTCTCTCCTCTCTCTCTCTCTCTCTCTCTCTCTCTCTTCTCTCTCTCCTTCCTCTCCAATCACCCTTTCTTCGCTCCCTCGTTTCCAAGCAACTAAAAGGTTCACTTAGCATTCAGTCAGCAGTTATTGACGGGACCATGAACATGAATAACGGGGTCAAGACACCAACATTCTTAAGGTCTAAACGCAGGCCACTAAATCAGACCATTATTATTTACTGTAAGTTATGTTCAAAGGTAACGGGTCAGTTTCCCCTAATAATTTCTTTCATTGATTGGATGGTCAGTTCTAAAAGTGCCTATGACCTTTGACCTTTCAAGTGCCAGACTGATGTCGCAATGTGTTAATGTTTTAATGGTTCAATGTATGCACCAATTTCTTCTGCTGTTTGTTGTTGCAATGCCACGACAGCGCCAGGCATTCTTGCATTGAGTATATGTTTTTTGGGGGACACAGGTCCGTGTACTGCACCCGACCAGTTCGCCATATATATATATATATATATATTATATATATATTATATATATATATATATATATATATATATATATATATATCTGTGTGTGTGTGTGTATGTGTGTGTGTTGTGTATGTGTTTGTGTGTGTATGTGTGTGTGTATACAAAAATAGGTGTATGAGTGTGTATGTGTTTGTGTGTGTATGTGTGTGTGTGTGTTTGTGTGTGTGTAGAGAGGGAGAAAGAGAAGTAGAGAGCGAAGATGAGTGAGAGAGATTATCTTTGTGCCGATTATAAAACCACTGATTTTGTCAGATATTGTCAGCATCGGTGCGTCATCCCTTTGCGCTCTCAAAACAAAATGGGTTTAACATAACCCATAATATAAACAATATATATTTTTATTTCATACTAGTCACTTATAGTAAGTGTTCTTATATGAAATCTAGAATCTTGTGGTTCCTTAGATATAGAATATTAAATCATATTTTTGTCCAAGTATTGGTGATGAAAATAAAGAAAATTAACACAATGTACTTAGGTGTTTGCGATTACGAATGGTGGAAAAATTCTCGTCTAATAGTTATAGTAGTTATGAACAATTATGCCTTTTCCGGCGATATTTTAATAACCGTGTTGTCATTTGTGCCACTGATAAATCACACTGTTGAACAATTTTATGCGCATTTCCTGTTGCCTTGCCTTATGGATGTGCGCTCTGCAATTCTTGTTAACGAGTGCGAATATTTAAGTGTATTTCAAAATGTTCACCGTGCATAGTCATACGTGTATATATGTATATGTCTGTGCATGGTTATGATATTTAAACATGTGTAAGTACATATGTGTGTATTCATGTGTGATAGACGGTAGGAGATATGCGCATATATACACACACATACACACGCGCGCGCATAAACAAATGTGTATGTGTTTGTGTGTGTTTGTATACTATCTAGTCACTTTTTTCCAGACAGACGGAGGTCTTAGATAATAGAAAGATTTTGTAATCGTTGTCAATAAATGTGATAAAGCGAGTCTTGTGTCGTTTCCCTGTCACGTGATCTCATGGTCATGTGACGTCACGAACCCAGATCGAACACACAGATTTCCCCCATTGTTATCTTCGCAGCTGAAACAAAAGAAAACGAAGATGCATTCTATCCTTTTGGGGGTATTATTCATAATTTATCAGATTTCCGGCTAGGGATAAACAAATAAATAATAATAATAATAATAATAATACCGATTATCGATTTTCCCGATCACGCTCACCATTCATCTGTCTTTCGGGCAGCGAGATGTATCACCTTAAAATGACCCTGTGACCTCGAATGCCCTCACTTCCCTAGCCTTGATATTTCCACGACCTTACGCAAGATCACGTGACGAAGGCCACCTGCTCCTATCTCGCATGAGCTCTCCTTCTTGCCATAAAATTCACCGAAATGTCCGTTTTTCCTGACTTCTATCTGCGCCATTTGCTTCGCTGCGTTTTGCGAGGGGCGGCTTTTGGCGGCGATGTGACGTCGGCATTCTGCGTTTGTAGCTAAGGTTTGTATGCTATGCAGGGAGTGAGCGATATGGGTCGTTATTACACACACACACGCACACGCACATACACACACACACACACACACGCACACACACACACACACACACACATACACACATATATATATGTACATATTTGCGTGTGTATGTATATAAAATAAAGAAAATATATTACATATATGTATATGTATATGTGTGTGTGTGACATATTATGTATGTATATATATAGATAGATATAGATATGTATATATATAAATATATATATATATATATATATATATAATATAGATAGTAGATAGATAGATAGATAGATTGTGAGGGGAAAATGAAGGTAGCAACTGCTGTATCATACAGTACAGCTACGTCAGATGTGTTCCAGAGCAAAACGTATGTGATATGCATATATAATCCGTGTGGCCTTAAGAAAAAAAAGGAAAACACGTACTACATCAACATAGTCATATCAATTACTAAAGCAGAAATATTCGGCCATTTTTTTCCATACCGCCCACCTTGACATAATTCATTACGAGGAATAAAATGCCTTGACACGATAGACATAAACTTGACAAGAAAAAACAAACAATCATCACAGTGTAAGACTTCTCAATGTGTTTACTTCCATTGGTACTTTGATATCCAATTCCTACTTATTTCTTCAAAATGAACTGAACTTCACCTTATTGACCTTTGACCCGAAATTATGAAAAAAGGGTCAAGTATATTAATGATAAACAGTTATTGACCTTTGACCCGAAATTATGAAGTAAAAGGGTCAAGTATACTTACGTTGATCAAATGAAACAAGTTAATCTACACTCAATCATTTATTATGTTGAAAAAAGAACTTAAAATACAATACAATATCAAAAGATATTAAATATACAAATAATTACATTAAAGTGACTTTAAGAAAGTAATGTGTTATTAAGAGAAAATGTTCTTAAGTAAGTGAACACGTATAAAAATTCCATTCACAAAGTCACAATAACATTACTCACACATAGCACCATGAAACACACATACGGACACAAATTACCTTAGAATATATGACAAGAGAATGGCGACATATGAAAAGCACCTAAATGAGATAATGATTATTATTATCATCACCATTATTATCATTATGATCTTAATAATCATTGTTATTATCATTATCATTACTATTATCAATATTATTACTGATATAATGATGATAATATCAATAATTAGACAATAATGATCACAAGAATAATGGTAATATTGAAAAGAAAATACATAATAATGATGATAATAAAGTCTACTTTATTGCAAACTTGATAATAAATTATCACTTATAAAATCTGAATGTGGTAATCGCAAGGATAGACCATTCAAGTGCCATTCGAAAATTATCCAAAAGAAAAAGAAGAAAAAAATAATAACAATAATAAGAGCATCAGAGGTCACCATTCTGTTTTCATTTTCAACAAAGCTGTAGTCATGAAATATCCATGAAGGACGCTTGGATATAGCACAAAGAACTGCATTGTTATCATTTCATATATACTGTCATCGTGATATACATTTTTTTTTCTCAAAAGCTCGTCAAGGTTACATTCCATTAGAACATTATAATGTCGATAACCTGAAATTAAGATACAGAAAAAAATCATGCTTGGAACTAGGGGAAAATGTGCATTTTGTCATCCATTCTCTGTGTATCCAAAATAAGGATATTTTAACGTGTATTTACAACATTTTACTTGATAAAAAGTAAGGTCAGGAAAGGTCAAATTATTACTCTATTGCCTGGTATTGACTGAATGGCGCGGCGTTATCAGATGTAAAATCGTTCTGCTCTTATGACTAAAATTTTACTATTACCACACCTCAAATCTCTAATAAAAGAAATTATACACCTGTGGCTTCTGTCATAAATCGAATCGTGTCATAAAAATACATCACTGATTCTTATCATTGGGATTTAAGAATCCTAAAATTCAGAGCGTCTTAACCAAGCTCTTAAAAAACATTTTAGTTACTGACCTCCTGGCTAAATACCCACTTTACAGCAACAACCAACGGCACTGTTAAGCCCGTACATGCCTAACTACCACCTGGGATACAACGGCCGCCCCTGTGTTATCTCCCTTCCCCAAAAGCTGTCTTACACTCCAGCCATTTTTCCCATATAAATCCCCCTTAAAATGCGTATATGCAAAAAGGATAAGTAATCATACAACGGTGAAATGGATCGACTTCAGAGCTGCGTCGGTGTATCGAAGGTCGAGCTGGGGGGGGGGGGAGGAGGGTGGGGGAGGGGCTTGCGTTTTCTCTTCTGCTTGTCACTGCTACGCTATTGTCGGTCTCGTGCAACCTGGAAAGAGAGAAAAATTAATCTATGGAATCAAGTTATGAGGATTACCCGAAAAGGAAGATAGAAAATAGAAATAGAAAGAGAGAAACACAAAGAAAAATCTCACCAAAATCAACAACCCACCGGAACGTAGTACAGCGAAAAATTAACATCATTTCACAAGCGAAATACGCCATCCCCCCTCCCCCCCTTTGGTCAGTCTCACAACCCTCCAACATGCACACAGCGTTCCACCTTGTTTCCGTAACCCTTCCCCTTCTATAAATCCCCATCCCACTCCATTAACTCATTCTACCCACCTTCACTACCATACTATCTTGCAATACCATACAACCATTAAAAACAAAGAATTTTTATCCTAATAGAGAACTCTCTTAGAATCCCTTCGCCTCAATAACATACTATTTTTATCATACGACCTTTGATGTCTAGCACAATCATTTATCTAAATGACCATTAACTAGACTCCCTTCACCACAATCTTACCACATTTACTCTACGACCTTTGACGTCCAGCACATTCATTTATCTAAAGCGATGACCATTAACAAGCAATGACCATTATCTAGACTCCCTTAACCACAATAACTTACCACATTTACTCTACGACCTTTAACATCTAGCACATTCATTGATCCAAAGCATCAACCATTAACCATTACACACAAGGGTTATACTCACTGCAAACCGAGCAATTTTCCTCGTCGCTGTTATCTCCACAGCCGTCGGAGCCGGAGCAGAGAATGGCGGTCGATCTGCACCTCCCATTGCCACACCTGGAGGATCGAGGGAATGAGGGAATGAGGGGGATTGAAGACTATTATTGTTTTTTATTTATTTATTTATTTATCTATTTTTACTGGGGGAATGAAAGTATTTTGATTTTTATTTATCTATTTATTTATCTATTTTACTGGGGGAATAGGGACTATTATTGTTTTTTATTTATTTATTTATTTATGTGTTTACTTTTACTGGGGAATGAAGATTATTTTGTTCATTTATTTATTTATTCATCTATTTTTACTGGGGGAATGAAGACTATTATTGTTTTTTTTTTATTTATTTGTTTATCTATTTTTACTGGGGGAATGAAGACTATTTTGTTTTTTTACTTATTTATTTATCTATTTTTTTGCTGGGGGAATGAAGACCATTATTGTTATTCATTTATTTATTTATTTATCTCCCTATTTTTACTGGGGGAATGAAGACTTTTTTTTTTAATTTGTCTATCTACTTTTACTGGAGGAATAAAGACTATTACTGTTAATTATTCATTTATTTATCTATTTTTACTGGGGGAATGAAGACTATTATTGTTTTTTATCTATTTATTCATTTATTTTTACTGGTAATTGTATTGAATGAGGAGGAATGGTGATGTACTGCGTTATTATTAGATTTATTGATTAATGGTGATTGTAGTGGAATCTATCGGTTTGTTAAGAATGTACGAATGTCGATCTAATGATATTCGGATATACAGACATGCGTATGTACGGAAATAAATGTATATCTGTCTGTCAGATATATATACACGTATCTGTTTATCTATACGGTAGATATGCATGTCACTACTGGTAGATATGCATCTATTTCAGTGTATTAGCAAGTCCGTATAATCAATGTTCATGAGAATGTTTTTTTTTTTTTCTATTGTTGGTTATCTTAGATAAACGGAGATAGAAAAAGTCTAATTAATGTGTATATATAAAAGATACTACACAATAAGGCTAATATTCAGGAAAAGAAAAGAAGATCGAGAGAACGAAAGAATGAAATAGAAGGACAAGAGATAGAGGAACAAAGAGAAAAAGCAATCATAAAGAATTTCGCGGGAACAAAATAATTGTCATCATTCATACTAATATGAATATTACGTGCCAGACTTATTCCCCACAAATATAAAGTAATAAAGAAATCCAGCCTAAAAATTACTAAAAAAGCATTGAAAAAAAAGCTAACCCACATCTCAGGATATTCACATCGTTCAGAACACGACATGAGTTCTGGCAAGTTCTGAACACAGGAAAAAAGTTCATAATAATAGTTCTAAACGGTGGGTATGGGTTTTGAACATAGGGCGTGGGTTCTGAATAGCAGGCAGGAGTTCAGACGAGATGACGCCAGTTCTGAATTTAGGAAAAAAAATAGACCAACAAATCAAGATTCCGAACAGCGGACGTCAATAAAAAAAAAGATAAATAAATAAATAAATAATAAATATAATAAAAATATAAATAAATAGAAAATGAAATAAAATATAGTCCGCCTATAATCAATCACAGATCCTGAAAAGCGGAATGAATTATGACAAAAAGACGCTAGTCCTGAAAATAAAAAAACTAAATCAGCAAATCCCTACCAAAACCCCAAGAATCCCGTAACAGAAAACGGGAAATTTCGACCGGAGACTCAAGCAAACAAGAAATTCCCGCCGCCACCGACCCCCAAACACCCTAGACAACCTGCGCCGACCACCGTAACTCTCGACCCGACTGACCGCGAGTCCTCTCACCTGAAGGGGCAGAAGCGGGCGGTGATGGAGCCCTGGATACACGCCTCCTCGTCCTCGTCGCTCCCGTCCAGACACGTCGCCTTCGCGTTGCAGAAGACGAAGGCGGGAAGACAGCGACCGTCACCGCACTGGAAGGTCGACGAAGGGCACGAGGCTGCGCAGAGAAGGGAAAAGGGTAATTAAAAAAAAAAATATATATATATATATAGATAGATATAGAGATAGATAGATAGATAGATATAGAGATAGATAGATAGATATAGAGATAGATAGATAGATATAGATAGGTAGATAGGTTAATGGAAATAGGGAGATGGGAGTGGATGGATGGAAGGGTAACGTGGAGAGAGAGAGAGAGAGAGAGAAGAGAGAGAGAGAGAGAGAGAGAGAGAGAGAGAGAGAGAGAGAGAGAGAGAGAGAGAGAGAGAGAGAGAGAGAGAGAGAGTGAGAGAGTGAGAGAGAGAGAGAGACAGAGAGACAGAGACCCAGACAGAGACAGAGAGAGGGAGGGAAAGAGAGAAGAGGAGGAGGAGAGAAAGAGAGAGAGACAAAGAAAGAGAAAGACAGAAAGAAACAAACAAAGATACGAATATATATGAAGAGACACAGAAAAAGAGAAGAAAACAGAGCCAGAGAAAGAGATAAGATACCAACTAGAACGCTAAAACTTTTTCTCTATCAGTTTTTCTTGTCTGATGCTGACCCAACTGCCTAGAATCACGCGATATATTAAGCATAAGGAAGAGCTGATAAACAGACAAGTATAAAGGAAAGTAGAACTGAAAAACGGATCTATAGTAACGACAAAGATACTAATAACAACAATGATGATAATAACAGAAACGACAACAGCAACAATAACAATAATAAAACAATAATATATGATATTAATAATAATAATAATGATAATAATAATAACAATAATGATAATGATAATGATAACAATGATGGTAATAATGATAATTATACAAAATAAATATAATAACAGAAAGAAAAAAAGAAAGAAAGGAAGTAAAAAAGAGAAAAAACAAGGAGAGAGAAGTGGACAATATACAGAGAAGAGAGAGAGAGAGAGAGAGAGAGAGAGAGGACTGAGTGAGAGAGAGTGAGAGAAACAAAAAAAAAAGACAAAAGAAAGTAAGAGAAAAAAGAGAAAGAGCCAAGAAACAAAGAGAAAAAAGAACAAAGAGAGCAACAGATAGTACCCACCGCCCGTCCCCCTGCCCACCCTCCCCCCAGCGCCACCCGGAGCCAGCGCCCGAGCACCTGTCTCACCTCCGCGGCAGTTGGCCTCATCGGAGCCGTCCGGACAATGCACCTTCCCGTCGCACAGCCGCGCCCTCGAGATGCAGGTGCCGTCAGCGCAGGTGTGGGCCAGCTTCGGACACCTGTGGGGCACGCAGGAGTCCTCGTCAGAGCCGTCGAAGCAGTCCCTGACGCCGTTGCAGACGAAGTACCAGCTGAGGCAGCGACCGTCCGAAGCGCACTGGAGAAGGGGGTCGATGTTTATTCGTTTAATCATCTATCTGTCTATTCGTTTATGTTCTCAACTTATCATTTATTCGTATTCTCAAATTATTTATTCGTATATTTATTTAAGGGGGCCAATAAAGAGGATTGCTAAGTATGATTTGGTGTTACTCTTTATTACTTTCTATGTACTTTCATCGAATTTTATTTATTCATTTATTTATCTATCTGTCTATTCGTTTGTCTTTATCGATTTATCCATCTATTTATTTATCTTTGTATCTATTTAGTTATGAATATATTCGTTTTTTAATTTGGTAATTTCTTTATTTATTCATGCATTTATATATCTATTCATTCATCTATCCATCCATCTATTCATTTCTCTATTCATCCGTTCACGTTTTTATCCATTCCTTCATGAATTCACTCATTTTAATTGGGTTTAAAAATATTTGACACGAAGTTTGCTCACCTGGAATGTGTCTTTGTGGCAGCCCGTGTTGGAGGCGGAGCACTGGGGCGTGTCGGCGATGCAGTGACACACGCCCCCTCGGCAGAACGTGTAGGGGTCGGACTCCCTGCACTGGCGCGACGACTCACAGCGCTGGCCCAGGGAAGCGGGGATCACGCCGGCGTCTGCAGGGGGAGGAGGAAGGGGCGGTGGGGTCTTTCTGTTTGGTTCTCTCTCTCTCTCTCTCTGTCTTGTTTTTTTTTTCGTCTTGTTTTTCTTTTTTTTTTAGTTTTCTTTCTCTCTTTGTCGCTGTCTGTGTCTGAATGTATGTCTCTTTCTCTGTCTCTTTTTTTCTTTCTTTCTCTTTCTCTCTCTCTCTCTCTCTCTCTCTCTCTCTCTCTCTCTCTCTCTCTCTCTCTCTCTCTCTCTCTCTCTCCATCCTCCTTCTATTCTTTCTTCTTCCTTCCCTTTCCCCTTACCACTTTCTCTCCTTCACGAACACAACCAAGAAGTCCCAACAAGCAACACGAAGCCGAAGCCAGAGACAAACCCTTCGACGCTCCTCCGACGGCAGCCGAGGCGCCCCTGTCCCCCTTCCAGACTCACCTTTGAGCACGGGGATGCACCTGGCCCCGTCCTCGCCCTCCAGATGCCCCGGGGGACACGCGCACACGGCCCTGGGCACACCTATGGGCATCGGGAACACCCCGGGTATGGCGGAGATGCTGTTGGGGGAGACCCTCTCTTCGGACACCTCGTTCTTCTGGATAACACACACGGAGCCGGGCACGTGGGCACTGCACTGGGCGCTCGTGCCACAGGGCGAGCCGAGAGCTGTGGGCAAGGAGCGCGGAAAGGGTGAACAGAGGAGGGGGGCGGTGAGGGGGGCGGTGCTGGTCCAGGGCGGAAAGCGAAGGGAGGAATGTGCTGTATTCATGGATAATTTGGTCGTGTGATTTTGGGAAGGGATTTAACGTTCAGTGTCCGAAAGGTTTTTCTTTTTTTGCTTTCACAATTGGATATGTACATTTGTTTTTATCCATGAATCCTCACATCGTGTAGTCATCTAGCGTAGAGGGAAAAGAGGATATATGCATATATATATAATATATATATATATATATATATATATATATTATATATATATATATACTGTACATATCTATCATACATTATACACATGTGTATAAT